CTAATATATATCTAAATTACCATTATTCTGTCAGTAGATAATAAAATAGATAGTAAAAAGAAAAAAGAAAACAACGTGGATGCTCTTTTGAATAAAGGTCGATTTGTATAATTATATAACTGTACATCCATTACAATCGTTCCCAGAGCCATGCTATACTGTACGCAACTAGTGATTAGGTTTAGGTTAGAATTACAAGTATCAAAGAAACCACGCGATCTCACGTGTTCTAAGATCTTTCAACTAAAAGAGAAAGAATCGCTTGTGAACTTTTTCCACTTTTCTTCCTGTACTCGTCTACTCTAGAAGCTTTGAGTATCTTTCTCTTTGTTCACCCTGTATGTTACTGGAGTAATTTTAAGCGACACAGGGAGAAGAGAATTATTCCTGGTGACGTAATTCGGTGACTTTTGGAATCGAGGAGAGACGAGTGGGGACGAAGTTGATGGGGCGCATTCCTTCTCGTCCTCGAGAAAGAGAAAAGTCCCCAATGGAGGCGAAAAAAGTGAAAAAAAAAAAAAAAATGGAGAAAAAAGAAAAAAGAAAGAAGGCATGTGGAAAAAGAAGAGAGAGAGAGAGAGAGAGAGAGAGAGAGAGAGAGAGAGAGAGAGAAAGAGAGGCGTGTGTGCAGGAAGTGGTTGGTACAGCATTGCCGGAGGGAAGGACGTCGAATCTAGGCCACAATCGTGTTCCTCTCTTCATGTTTTGCGCGGATATGTAAGGCAATACCGGCCAGTGGTTCTCAACTTTTTTTTGCAAATCGATCTTGCAACCTGTTTTTGCAACTTTGAAGCAAATTTCATAGGAATCAGTTTGAAGCTCCTTCCTATAACTTTGAAGGAAATTTCAAAGAAATCAGTTTAAAGCTTCTTCCTGTAACTTTGAAGGAAATTTCAAAGAAATCAGTTTGAAGCTTCTTTCTGTAACTTTGAAGCAAATTTCAAAGAAATCAGTTTAAAGCTTCTTCCTGTAACTTTGAAGCAAATTTCAAAGAAATCAGTTTGAAGCTTCTTCCTGTAACTTTGAAGGAAATTTCAAAGAAATCAGTTTAAAGCTTCTTCCTGTAACTTTGAAGCAAATTTCAGAAAAATCAGTTTAAAGCTTCTTTCTGTAACTTTGAAGCAAATTTCAAAGAAATCAGTTTGAAGCTTCTTCCTGTAACTTTGAAGCAAATTTCAAAGAAATCAGTTTGAAGCTTCTTTCTGTAACTTTGAAGGAAATTTCAAAGAAATCAGTTTAAAGCTTCTTTCTGTTACTCTGAAGCAAATTTCAAAGGAATCAGTTTAAAGCTTCTTCGTGTAACTTTGAAGCAAATTTCAAAGGACTCAGTTTAAAACTTCTTCCTGTAATTTTGAAGCAAATTTCAAAGAAATCAGTTTAAAGCTTCTTTCTCAGCTACTCTATGTGTCTTCATAATTCTCTTCTTAAAATAAGCTGAAATTCTTTTCTTCTTCCAAGAGAAACACCCACATGATAAATATAGGATGGCCACTGAAAAGCTGAAGGGTTTGAAAAATTCATTAAGAAAACAAAAATTTTAATTCACAAATATTCACACGTGACACTGAGAGAAATCCATTAATTATATTATCGAATAAAATAATAAAAAGTTAAAATGTGTTTGTAATAGTTATTTTTGTTTTGTATCATTCAGTCTTTCAGTGGCCGCTCTAAAATAGTATAAAATAGTTGGCGGCATAGAAATTTGATGGTTGATAAACGATTCGATAATTCCTGTCCAAAGCTTTCTAAATACGTGCCCAGCCCCCAGTATTCATATCCAGGTGTCACCACAGAAAGCAAAAGACTGACTTAACGAACTTGGACGATCGTGGATGTTTTCTTGCACGACCTGATTCCCGGAAAAAATTTAGTCAAGGTGAGAATCTCGAGGTGAAAATCGTTTCCAACAGTCCTACTTATCGTTTCTTAGAAACCGACTCTGCAGCAGTCGTTCTACTTTGGTTTCATTCTCAAGTATTAAATAATTAACATTTAAACATTATCTAAATATTATCAAGTATCATTAAATATTGTTAGGTGTTCTTTAAAAAATATATATATATATAAATATATTAATGTTAAATATCATTTAAAAATAAATTGAAAATATAGCGATATTCTTCTTTTGGACAGTTAATTCTTTTTGGAAATCGCTTCTGTTTCTTTATTTTTTTTAATCTTAGGATTATTTTAATTCTTGTCTTTCTGTTGTCGAGTATGTAGGTCAGTGACTTTGAAGAAAGTAATTTTTCTCTGAAATTAACCAAGTTCAATTTTTTAACCGGGTAAAAGCCGCACAAATAATTATAATTATAATTATATTATATAAATAATTATAACTATAATTATGCTCTACAAATAATTATAATTATAATTGCACTGTTACACTGTTGAACTTGAACTTTTTAATTTTAATAGTCTGTGTCTCAAAAAAAAAAAAAAAAAAAAAAAAAACAAGACGTCAAAAGATAAGACAGAGAATGTCATTTTCCTCTAAAATTGATTGAACTTTTAAAGCGCCCCCAATTCGTTTCAACAATGGAGGAAACAGAAAATTGATTCTCAACCAAGTATAATAGAAACTTTAACAAAATTGCTCTGTGGACAATTATAATTGTTCTGTTACACTGCAATTTTACTCGAGCTCAAAACTTTTTAATTTTATAACAGTCTACTTTTTAATTTAACAATCTCAAAAAAAAAAAAAAAAAAAGGAAGAAGAACAAGAAGTCAAAAGTCATTTTTCTCGAAACTTTCAACAAACTGTTGAGACTCGACGACGATTGCGAATCGCTGAGAAATAACTGGCGCCGCGGTTACACTCTCGCTTTCGAAATAATAATTATTTAATACTGGAAGCTGCGGTGAAATGCGAGCGACCGGTTTTTTTTTTTTGGCCAGCCAAACACCAAATACCTTCTTCTTCTCTTTCTCTCTTCTCTTCTTCGATCCACGCTTTCCACAACAAACCGCAAACACATTGAAACGCATTTTCGAAATGGCGAGTCCCTCTGCTCGTCGAATGTTAAACTGGATTTTACGTAACGGAGAATCGGGTAAACATTCGACCCGGTCGTTACATTTAGCTGTTTTTCCTTGTTCGATCGAGGTATTGCGGTGTTGTCACCGAATTACGCAACGTCGTCATTGTTTACTTCGTTGCTTCCCGCCCCCCTGTTATTTTTATTTTATTCACTTATTATTCATTTAATATTTATTTATTATTTGTTATTTGTTTAATATTTATTCATTATTTGTTATTTGTTTAATATTTATTCATTATTTATTATTTGTTTAATATTTATTTATTATTTATTATTTATTTAATATATATATATATTTATTTTAATATACATATTATATTTATTTATTATTTATTATTTATTTAATATATATATTTATTTTAATATACATATTATATTTATTTATTATTTATTATTTATTATTTATTTAATATATATATTTATTTATTATTTATTATTTATTTAATATACATATTATATTTATTTATTATTTATTATTTATTTAATATACATATTATATTTATTTATTATTTATTACTTATTTAATATATATATTATATTTATTTATTATTTATTATTTATTTAATATTTATTTAATATTTATTCATTATTTATTATTTATTTAATATTTATTTATTATTTATTATTTGTTTAATATTTATTTATCATTTATTATCACAATTATTATTTATTATCATTTATTTTCCTTGAATTTCAATTTTTATTTGTTGCAAGTTGGCGTCGTGAAATTTAAAAATTCTATTATCCACTGCAAATTGGAATGTCAGGATATTATTTATTTATTTACTTATTTATTTGTACATTCATTTCTCACGGGCAAAGAAAAATATCCATTAAAAAAATAGTGATACAATTATAAAAAGTTTTTAAATACAATGGAGGTATGAGACTGAAGTGAAAAAATTACAAAGAGATACCAAGTAAATTATAAGTAGAGGGTGTTCTGAGACTTTTCAGCGAGATTAGGGAAAATTCTTAGTTGTTCAATCGCGACGAAAGAATTCGTCGAGGTTCGATTTCCAAATTTTCATGGATCGATTCCTAAATTTTTCGAAAATTCCGCCTTCCACTGCAAACGTCGAGTATTGGAAATAAAAGAGGCTGTTACTCGAGACTTTCCAGCGATTCACTATAGCCTCCAGTAACAAAACAGTGAAATAATAATCATACTTGTGAGAAAATGTGGTCCTCCTTGGACCGTTCGTTTATTTGTCCTGCGTATTTTCTCGATCATTCGCAACCTCTTTCTCGCGTCTACGATTAGCATAATCATGGACCGCTAAATTAAGCTCATTTGTAATAAATTCCCTTGCGTCTCGGCAAAACGAGCATGCAAATCACTTTGCGTAATTTTTTACGCACGCTCTCACTACACACACACACACACACACACATATATATTTTTTTAATGTGATTCTTAATAGATCGATCGATCTCGAATGGTTGACCTTCACATCGAACGTCGATAATTAATCTTACGAATTAATCACTGGCGAACGAGCCAGTCGACAGTGATCGTGACATTCACGAATTTCACAAATGACCAAGAGTTTCTGTGAACAGCGAAGGACTTTTGGCGACTTTCGCCCCCACCGAAAGTTATGGCGGCCATAAAAAGTTCCATCGATTCCTCCGGATCATTTAGTAACCGGTCGATCTCCTCTCACTCTCTGCGAGGGGACTAACGGATTGCGCGTTACTCTATAAAATTTAGAAAATCTCAACAATAGTGACATTGTAGAGAAATTTATGGACAATCTAGAAACAATTCGTTGGATAACACTTTGTCCTTCGAATTTCCTTTCTATTCAATTCGACTTCGACCCTAACTGTCTCTGTCCACGATGACCATCTTTCGTTCTTGCCTTTTGTCTTTGTAAGTTTGAGATGTTCTGAGATATATCTCGAGGGCCAGGACAATCCAAATGAACTGCAAATGGATTTCTGTCGCAGGATGAGGAGGAAGAAGAAGCAAGGAGCCACCGAGGGCGAAGGAGCATCGATTCTGCTACTCGTCGCATTGGCTCCTGTTATCTGCTCCGCTGGAATCCTGGACCCTTGGCAGTGGGCACGTAGTGATCGAATCGAGGTCAACATTCCTTGGTTGCCATGTAATTGTCCTTTGTCTCTTCAAACCTTAATGCACGCTCGTCGAATCGATTTCCAACCACTTCGAAGAATAAATACTTGTCCACCTGTCGAATAACAATACTTATATATTACTCAATTCAACGTACGAGATATTTTATATTAAGACTTTAATTCCAAGTAATCAAATTTCACTTTCCAAATGGAGGAAATTCCAAATTTCCTTTTTTCTTTAATTACACCATATATTTATGAAATATATTTTATATATTTATATAATATATATTTTACATATTGTATATTTATATAATATATATTTTACATATTGTATATTTGTATACAATATTTATATACAACAATATTATATAAATTTTATATATTGTATATTTATATAATATATATTTTACATATTGTGTATTTATATAATACATTTTATATATTTTTTATTTTTTATATTATATTTATATTTTATATTTTTATATAATATATATTTTATATTTTTTATTTCTTATATTATATTTATATTTTATATTTTTATATAATATATATTTTATATATTTCATATTTTTTATTTCTTATATTATATTTATATTTTATATTTTTATATAATATATATTTTATATATTTCATATTTTTTATTTTTTATATTACATTTATATTTTATATTTTTATATAATAAATATTTTATATATATTATATGTTAGTATTAGTCGTACGATTTTATTTTGCTAGTCGAGAACGAGACACGGTGCTACGACGAGCTAGGCTGTTTGAACATAACCAGGAGTTGGTATCACCTCATCCATAGACCGCTCAACGTCTTCCCTCTGCCACGCGAAGTCATCAATACGAGATTTATTCTGTACACGAACGATAATCCCACGGAGGTGAGTACAAGAATCTTTAATATACTTTAATACGTATTACGTTGCGTGAAAATAAAAACTTCCAACGATTGTTACAATCGTAGATGAAACAGTTTTATTTGTACCAACTTCCCAATACGATTAGAAAAAAAGATATTCAAATAATATCACAGGTGCTGTGATGTTCCAAAGATTTTGAAATTTCGAATGTTTGTCTGCAGGGTCAAGTGTTGATAGTCGCTAAAGACAAATCGATCAAACGATCGTACTTCAGTCCAAAGAGGAAAACAAAATTCATCATACATGGGTTCATAGATACCCCCCTCAGCAACTGGGTGAAGGTGAGTTAATTATATCAATTAGCAAATCAAATGAATGTGAAAAATTAAGTATAGTGTAAAATTAAAGCTGTGAGATATCATTTAGTATATTTAATAATCTGCCTAATTTCTATCATATTTGTATATTTAATTGTAATGGAAATAGAATATATATATATTTACAATTTATTTCTATTACAAATAATTGTAATAGAAATAGATTGCAATAGAAACAGAATATCTATCATATTTGTATATTTAATTGTATAGAAATTGTAAATTTCTATCATTTTGTATATTTGATATCTGCCTAATTTCTATCATATTTGTATATTTAATTGTAATGGAAATAGAATATATATATTTACAGTATATTTCTATTACAAATAATTGCAATAGAAATAGATTGCAATAGAAACAGAATATCTATCATATTTGTATATTTAATTGTATAGAAATTGTAAATTCCTATCATTTTGTATATTTCCTATATTTGATATCTATCACATTTGTATATTTAATTGTATGGAAATAGAATATATATATTTACAATATATTTCTATTACAAATAATTGCAATAGAAATATAATAACTATCATATTTGTATATTTAATTGTATAGAAATTGTAAATTTCTATCATTTTGTATATTTGATATCTACCTAATTTCTATCATATTTGTATATTTAATTGTAATGGAAATAGAATATATATATTTACAGTATATTTCTATTACAAATAATTGCAATAGAAATAGATTGCAATAGAAACAGAATATCTATCATATTTGTATATTTAATTGTATAGAAATTGTAAATTCCTATCATTTTGTATATTTCCTATATTTGATATCTATCACATTTGTATATTTAATTGTAATGGAAATAGAATATATATATTTACAATATATTTCTATTACAAATAATTGCAATAGAAACAGAATAACTATCATATTTGTATATTTAATTGTATAGAAATTGTAAATTTCTATCATTTTGTATATTTGATATCTACCTAATATCTATCATATTTGTATATTTAATTGTGATGGAAATAGAATATATATATTTACAGTATATTTCTATTTCAAATAATTGCAATAGAAATAGAATATCTATTATATTTGTATATTTAATTGTACAGAAATTGTAAATTCCTATCATTTTGTATATCTAATATCTGCCTAATTTCTACCATCATCGCCACAGGAAATGAGAAACGAGTTGCTGAGGCACGACAATTACAATGTCATCATAGTCGACTGGGCTGGAGGAAGTTTGCCACTTTACACTCAAGCAACTGCCAACACGAGGCTGGTGGGCCTCGAGATAGCCCACCTCATTAAGCACTTGCAGGTAAAATGAATTCTGCAAGCTCGTACTCAGTTGGCTGCTCTCACAAAGGAAAAAAAAAAGTTTCTACTCGTTAAAGAGTGAGAAAGAGAGAGAGAGAAAAGAACTTATGAAACATTGTGACTTAATCTCATTCTGAAACAGACTTTTAGATCACTTAGGTTCATTTTTAGGTGGTACAAATATCTCAAAAGCAGAACGTGAAGAGAATGACGTGAAGAGAGCTAAAAGTATGTTACTCAAACTTATAACTATAAATTGTGTAGTTTTATCCTGCTTCTATCTTTCTTTTTTTCCCATTTATGGCTTGGCTTGTGGAGAAAGCAACTTGCAACTGTTGTGTTTCGATTAAGACTGAACAAACAAACAGTAGATACATGTAGAACCTATGTCATGTTGGAAATATCCTTACATTTCTTTCGTATTTTACACACGTATTTTTTTATTATAATTTGTTACTGATAACACTTGCTGCCAGGTGAAACGATTGATAGATTAATGTACTGTTTGTTCAAACGCAGACAAATTACGGACTGGACCCAAACGATGTGCACTTGATCGGGCACAGCTTGGGCGCTCACACTGCGGGATACGCGGGAGAGAAGATGGCAGGGAACATCGGCCGGATAACAGGGCTGGATCCTGCCGAACCTTACTTTCAAGGGATGCCTAGCCACCTAAGACTGGACTACACCGACGCCAAGTTGGTCGACGTCATTCACACCGACGGCAAGAGCATCTTCTTCCTAGGTAACCAGCAGATATTTTTATTCACTTTAGAGAGTAGACTTTAAACTCTTGTGTCACAAACACAGTTATCAGATCCCTCCGTTAGAAAATTTAAAAAACAAGAATTACTAATTTGTGCCTCGACTCAATTCAAGTCAGGTGCGACTCAAGCTAATTTAGAACGTGATAAGGGCTTCCAGGATACGGAATGAGTCAGCCGTGCGGCCACCTGGACTTTTACCCAAACAACGGCAAGGAGCAGCCAGGTTGCACGGACCTGAGCGAAACAACACCGTCTTTACCATTGACACTGATCAGGGAGGGCCTGGAGGAGGCGTCGCGAGTGCTGGTGGCCTGCAATCACGTGCGTGCCATAAAACTGTTCATCGAAAGCATCAACTCCAAGTGCCAATACGTGGCTCACGAGTGCTCCAATTACGCCAGCTTCCTCAGGGGCGAGTGTTTCTCGTGCAAGAGCAACAACAGCCTTAGCTGCGGTGTCATGGGCTACCATGCGGACAAGAGCCCGGCACTGGTTGGTAGACAGGCTATGGGACAGGACGTTCTATCCCTCCTCGGCTCGAAATTCTTCTTCACCACTGGCAAGGAGGACCCTTACTGCAGTGAGTGCAGATTTTCAACTCTGTTGTTTGAAATCTCTTCTGTTGCTTGCCAGTTTAGAGGACATTTATAGAAAAGATTAATCATTAATCATGGAAGAGAATAAATCACTTAATTTTAGAGAAGGGCAAGGGATTAAAATTGTTAGAGAGGAACATCTGCACTGCAGTGAGTGCAGATTTTCAACTCTGTTGTTTGAAATCTCTTCTGTTGTTCAGAGGAAAAGATTCATTAATCAAGGAAGAGAATAAATTATTTCATTTATTAGAGAGAGACAAGAAAAGGGGGCAAGGGATTAAAATTTGTTAGAAAGGAACATCTGCATTGCAATGAGTGCAGATTTTCAGCTCTGTTGTTTGAAATCTCTTCTGTTGTTTAGAGGAAAAGATTCATTAATCAAGGAAGAGAATAAATTATTTCATTTATTAGAGAGAGACAAGAAAAGGGGGCAAGGGATTAAAATTTGTTAGAAAGGAACATCTGCATTGCAATGAGTGCAGATTTTCAGCTCTGTTGTTTGAAATCTCTTCTGTTGTTTAGAGGAAAAGATTCATTAATCAAGGAAGAGAATAAATTATTTCATTTATTAGAGAGAGACAAGAAAAGGGGGCAAGGGATTAAAATTTGTTAGAAAGGAACATCTGCATTGCAATGAGTGCAGATTTTCAGCTCTGTTGTTTGAAACCTCTTCTGTTGTTCAGAGGAAAAGATTCATTAATCAAGGAAGAGAATAAATTATTTCATTTATTAGAGAGAGACAAGAAAAAGGAGCAAGAGATTAAAATTTGTTAGAGAGAAACATCTGCACTGCAGTGAGTGCAAATTTTCAGCTCTGTTGTTTGAAATCTCTTCTGTTGTTCAGAGGAAAAGATTCATTAATCAAGGAAGAGAATAAATTATTTGATTTATTAGAGAGAGACAAAAAAAAGGAGCAAGAGATTAAAATTTGTTAGAGAGAAACATCTGCACTGCAGTGAGTGCAAATTTTCAGCTCTGTTGTTTGAAATCTCTTCTGTTGTTCAGAGGAAAAGATTCATTAATCAAGGAAGAGAATATATTATTTGATTTATTAGAGAGTGACAAGAAAAAGGAGCAAGAGATTAAAATTGTCAGAAAATTGTCTTTCTTTTCAAAATTGGTTGGCAAGGTCAATGAAAAATCGCCTGAACCCGGCGAAACTCGCAAGTTTCTAATCGATTCTTATGTAGGGCATATTTAAATCACAGTCTCGAGGCACGCAGCAATTTTCCATCGACGATAACAGGGTGAAAGCAGCCGGTCGCGATTTATGATAATAAATAATTTGCGCGACTCCTACGTTCGGAGCTATCCAACCGGCTCGATCCAGTCCGAGAAGCGTTTCAGAAGAAAAATTCCACGCGATTTCATTCGCTTCCAGATGTTTGCAAGACTTTCAATGTTATCTTGAGCATCGTTAGCACAACGAATTTCCATTTCCTTTAATTAACGTAGCATCTGGTGAAACTCTTGTACAATATTTTCAAGCACGTACGTGCCTCACGCGATCTTCCTTTGTCGTTATTTATTAAATTGAAAATAATAATTTCGTGACGATTTTTCTTGCGTGAGTTTCAATCTTTTTTTTTTTTTTTTTCTAAAATTCATCAATTTTGACATACTTTTTTTTTGTTTTTTAATCATTCGTCAGGAAGGCATTACAGGATCACCATCAATCTTGCTCGGCCATCGAGCGCAGAAAGTTGGGTCCAAGGTTTCATGAAAGTCACTCTTCACGCAGAGAACGGCATTATTCGAGACGTTGATCTCACTCCTAGGTAATTTTCTCATCCACCTCTACGGTTCTACTGAAATTAATCCGTAAATAAAATAAAATTAACTCTAACTGAATGAAAGAGAGAAAATCGCTTTTTACAAAAAAAAAAAGCCAACAACTGGCCATTGCTTGCACTAAATAATAAAAGGCACAGATCGGAAGTGTGCGAATCAAAATTTGTATTTGGCAAACGCGAGATCGCGTCTCTGTCTGTTAATTTCGTGCGAACAGAGAGAACATCGATACTTTCGAAGAGATAAACTTTATTGCTTCTTCTTTCACTCCATGGCCGCAGCGGTTACATGAAATTGGAACACGGGTCGACGGTTCGAATGGTCGTCGCTCATCCAGCCGGCGCGTCCGGTGAAATTGGCAAGATCAGGCGTGTCGAGCTTTCGTGGACCTACGACATGGACGTGTTACAGCCGCGGTCCCTCTGCTTTTTCTGGTGTAACGACCGCCTCTACGTGAACAGCGTCACCGTGGACGTCATGGAACTACCAGGGAGAGGGTAAATTGTTCTTTCAACTCGCTGCAGGCACTCGCATTTCATTCATTTTATCACTCGCCTGTCAATTAGATATATTTAGATGTCGACGATTATTATTATAAATATCATAAATATGTATTATTACAAATATTTTATTATAAATATTATAAATATATTATTATATTATATAATATATTATGAATATTTTATATTATTTTAGTATATTATTATAAATATTATAAATATATTATTAATTATATAATAATATATCATAAATATTATAAATATATTATTATGTTGTATAATAATATATTATAAATATAGTAAATATTTTATGAATATATATTATTTTAATATATTATCGTAAATATTATAAATATATTATTAATTATATAATAATATATTATAAATATAGTAAATATTTTATATTATTTTAACATATTATCATAAATATTATAAATATATTATTAATTTTATAATATTATAAATATAGTAAATATTTTATAAATATTATTTTAATATATTATCATAAATATTATAAATATGTTACGTATGTATCAGATTGATAGTATACACATACATAATTGTAATCTGATGGGCATTGTAATTGATGGGCAAATTGAGGCACCGTTGGTCCGTTTAGAAAACTGTTTATAAATGATCTTTATTTCTTTTCAATCTGTTACAGTGATAAATTAATTTAGAATGGGCACATACATACATTATTTCTCATGATGAACAGTATTTTGTGTTTATAATATTGTAGTGATTTAATATTGACGTGGTATCATATTGACTCCTTTTAACATTATACATCATACATTGTTATAAATCTTTGTGTAAGTGTACGTACCTTGTATGTGCAGAAAGAGAGAAGCAGACTTCACCAGCAAGCTCTGTTCAGCAAGCAGGCAAGATTACGCGGAGATTGCCAGTGGTTCCACAGCATCGTTCATCGACAACTGCTGACAATTAAGTCTCCAAACTTAATTTAACAAATATCTGAGTACAACAGTGATAGTTTTGAGGTTTCGAGGTTCCTGTGAAAAGTATGAAAAGTTAAAATGAATTCTAGTGCGAGTTTTGCAACAGTAGGGGCAGTTAGAGCCAGCATGAATAATGGAAATTATGAGAAGAATCTACAGAGGATCAACTGAAATCTGTATTTTACAAATGGCGCTTTTAATTCGCAAGGTATGTTGGAAATTCTTAGAGAAAAAAAAAGAAAAAAAAAAAAGAAAAGAGAAAACAAAAGGCGAGAGTCGTTTGGACAAAAATTTTATTTTTAAAGGGAGAAGAAAAAAAGAAAAAAGAAACAATTGCAACCATACAGATATATGTGATAGCAAATAAAAAAGAGCGGGTTGCACGAGCCACAGGTGAAAAAAATCTGTAAACGACAATACTTATCCTTCGTAAGCGAGAGAACACGACAGTGGAATTACATATTTTCACAATATATCACAAGAAGATAGTTCAAAAAAAACCTAGAGCGTCGTTACAAAGGATCGTTTTACAAGAAAAAAAAAGAAAAAAAAAAAAAGAGAGAGAGAAATCTCGATGAACCGCCGTTATTAAAAAATATTCACATTTCTTTCCTTTCTTTTTTTTTCTTTTCTTCCTTTCTTTTCTTCTTTTTTTTTTTAATCCTGTAAAATGCGGCGTATTTAAGTATAAACATCAAACTCACGATGAAAATTATGAATGTATAATATAAGATAAAATCGGCACGCGTCTGCAGCAGTATTAATTACCATCAATATTACTTTTTGTACATCTTGTATATAAAATTGGATAGATGTAAACTAGATATAATGCTATAGTGTTAGTGTTTATAAAAGCAGGTAATCGTTCTGTAAATGATCGACGATTTTCTGGCGGAAAATTTCTTTCTGCCAGCGCAAAAATCTTTTGGTTCATGCGTGATCCGTATCTACGTACACTTTTATACAATATTTACATAAACGAATATACCCGTCAATTGCGACGTAATAGCGACAATCATTTGTGATATTTTTCTTCTTTTTATATATATATATATGTATGTATGTATAATTTAAATACTATACGTTTAAATATATATATATATATAGAATTTACTGGTAACACTTTCATCGTTAAAAATTGTACAAACTCAGAATAAGCGGACATTCGTATAAACGATACGAGTATATATATATATATATATATCTTGTACTGCGTACTATTAAAACGTTTTTAACATTGAAAACCAGTTTATAATATATATATAACTCGGTGTTAAAATATAAACTTGTCGTGCTGTGTAACGACACCACATCCGATTAACAATCACGATGCTCAATGATGAAAAATACAATCTCTTTCATTTTCTTCTCTTTTTTTTCTTTTTTGGCTTTTTCTTGTTTTTTTTTTTTTTTTCTTCTTCGTAGAAAGGTAATGTTCTCAAAGGCTACAAGGAAAAGAAACACACTTGGTACAGCTTGCTAATCTTTTGCAATGTTTTACTCCTCGATAAACGTTGTACACGTCGATTTGTCGCTTATACAAAATGATCATCGCGGAGTGCAGCTATACAC